TATACAGGGAAAAATTGGGTATCAACAGTTAGCCCTTGAGTTAAGCTCAAATTGATGTGAGTTGGGGATGTAAGAATTCTTGGTCCGAGTTGAGCAAGGTATCGAATCTGACATAAAGTTAGCCTTTAGACATCGTGGATAGTCCCTGAGTGAGAAATTTCTCGAACTCGGGTAGCCCTTGGGCTTAGTTGTCGAGTGAGTACTTGCTCGAACTCGAAATAAAGTTAACCATTAGGCTTCGTGGATAGTCACCGAGTGAGGATTTTCTTAAATTCGGGTAGCCCTTGGGCTTAGTGATTGAGTGAGTACTTGCTCCAACTCGAAATAAAGTTAGCCCTTAGGCTTCGTGGATAGTCCTCGAGTGATGATTTTCTCGAACTCAGGTTGCCCTTGTTCTTAGAGGTTGAGTGAGTACTTGGTCAAACTCGAAATAAAGTTAGCCTTTAGGCTTTTGTTTATTGGCTCTTAGGATCTTATACATCGGCCCTTAGGCTCTTTAAGTTGGGGCAATGCGGCCTCTAAAATTGCTATAATTTTTCCCATTTTTCTGGATAAAAGACTTAGTGAAAATTTGACATAGCTTATGTCACGACCCCAGTTCACCCTCCATGAACATGTCGTGATGGAACCTAGTTCCTACAACTAGGTAAGCCTAACAGTGCGGAATAATAATTAACATTTGCGGAATAATTAATTAAAACTGAACATACGGAAATCAAAATTGTATATAAGGCCACTCGGCCTATACAACTCAAAAAAATATGCGGAAGTCTACAACTAAAACCCAATACCCCGGAAACTCACGGGAAAACACAGGCTAATAGAGTATAGTAATCAGCTCTACACCAGACTGTCTAAACAACATGAGAAGGAAAGAAAAGGAAACTATCTGCTAAAGCCAGAATAAAGTAGAGACTCCTGGTCTGCGGACGTAGCAGATTTTCCTCAAGTCTCAGCTAGGACTCTCCACCACGAGAATGATACGCCTGGGAGGAAGTACCTGAATCTGCACATGAAAGACATGTGCAGGAAGGGCATGAGTACACCACTGCGGTACTCAGTAAGTGCCAAGCCTAACCTCGGTTGGGTAGTGACGAGGAAGGTCAGGGCCGTACTGAGATAACATAATAAATAATAAGATAACAGAAATAGTTTAAATAAAGTCCACAGCGAGAATCTAAACCAGGTAAATAAGGATAGACGGCAATAGAAAGCAAAGGTAACAATGCAAGGAAAACCGCCATCAACAAGGAATAGTAGCCGGGGATCTCTTGGTATCTCGAGGATCTCATGGTATCCTCATCATCAACACGGGGGATCTGTCGATATCCCGAGGATCTCTTAGTATCCTCAATAAGCAAGTTGGGGATCTCTTGGTATCCCGAGGATCTCTTGGTATCCTCAATAAGAAATCGGGGATCTCTCGGTATCCCAATGTATATATAGAATCACATGTGCCAGGGATCTCTTGGTTTCCCGCACCCTCAGTCCAGAATATCTCAAGTTAGGGGAATCTCCCGCGAAGTCGTCCCGTAGTCCCAAATTAAACACACAACAACAACATTTCATAAATCTCGGAACAATGCTAAAAATCAGGACAAGAAGTAGTAAATTATAGCCTAACATGCTTCACAGAGTACAAATAGCACAGCTAAGACAAATAAGCAAGTAAGCCAGCTAACCATGAGTCTCTAAGCTAGCACAGGTATAAACTTACAGTTAAAATAAACAAGTAAACAAGAAATCTCAATTTAAGTACTTCAACTAGAAACGGGTTTACAACAATTAGCTCAAGTACGCGCTCGTCACCTCACGTACGAGGCATTCAAATATTCAAAGATCATATCCTAAGGGGAAAGGTCCCTCACACAAGGTTAGACAAGCCACTTACCTCAAACCGGCTCAATATCAACTAGAAGCCACGCTCTTGCCACGAGTATCCGACTCCAAATGGCTCAAATCTATTCAATTCAATTACACATTGTAAATAACATCGCAAAAACCTGGTTTTGCTAATAAATTCAAAGCTACAGCGTAACATTAGGTGAAATGACCAAAATGCCCTTCAGCCCAACGCCCCGGAATTGAATAATTTTCACATTTTCAGAACCCTCGTACTCTCACTAGTCTAACAATATAAAAATCTCCCAAATCGGAGGTCAAATGCTCACTCAAAACTCAATAATTTAGCCAATGAAGTTTTACCCCAAATTATCCAACTTTTGATCCTAAATTCAAATTCCAATGATGCATTTAACTATATAATGATGAAATATAACTAGAAAGGGATTAAGTAAACGTTACCCAATAGTTTTCTCTTCAAAACCCTCTGAAAATCGCCCTTACCCGAGCTCTCAATTGATTTCTCCAACTTTTGAAACTAACCCTCTAATCTGATATTTCACCCCAGAGATTTCCGCTTCTGCGGTCAAGGGACCGCTTCTGCGGACCACGAGCTGCTTCTGCGGTTCTTCGATAAAGTCAGATTTCCGCTTCTGCGGTCTTAAACCGCACCTGCGGTTGCCGCTTATGCGGATTCATTACCGCTTGTGCGGTTTCATTTAAAAGGACAGATTCCGCTTCTGTGGTGAGGGAGCCGCAGAAGCAAAAATACTAGAAGGAACGAAATACCAGCTGCTGCAAACTTAGAAATTTCCTCCGTTAACCACCCGGAATCATCCCGAGGCCCCCGGGACCTCAACCAAAAGCACCATTACCACCTAATATCTTATTCAAACTTGTACCAATCTTGAAAACACCTAAAACAACACCGGAAACCCGAATTAATCAAGGATTCAAGCCTAAGAACTTCAATTTCCAACAAAACGCGCTTTCGATCAAAAACCTACCCGAACCTCGTCCGAATGACCTCAAATTTTGCGCACACATCCAAAATGACATGACGGAACTACTGTAGCTTCTAGAATTCCAATCCGACCCTCGGATCAAAACTCACTATCGGACTGGAAACTCAAAAAAATCAAACTTCGGCATTTGAAGCCTAAATGAGCTACGGACTTCCAAAATACATTGCGAACACGCTCCCAACCCCGAAATCACCTAACGGAGCTAACGGAACCATCAGATTTCCATTCCGAGATCGTCTTCACACTGTTCCGACTACGGACCACTTTTCAACACTTAGGCTCTCATTTAGGGACTAAGTGTCCCAAAACTCTCCAAAACTCAACACCGAACGCCCCGGCAAACCAAAATAGCAAAAATGAACTACGGGAAGCAGTTAATGGGGGATCGGGGCGTAAATTCTTAAGACGACCAGCCGGGTCGTCACATCCTCCTACACTTAAACATTCGTTCGTCCTCGAACGAGCATAGAGAACATTCCTGAAGTAGTGAAAAGATGAGGGTAACTGCTGCGCATATCCTGCTCGGTCTCCCAAGTCGCCTCCTCGGCCGGCTGACCCCGCCACTGAACCTTCACTGAAGTTATGTTCTTTGACCTCAACTTTCTGACCTGCCTGTCCAATATAGCCACTGGCTCCTCAACATAGGATAGATCCTTGTCCAACTGGACGGAACCGAAATCCAACACGTGCGACAGATCACCGTGATACCTCCGGAGCATCGAAACATGAAAATACCGGATGAATTCCGCAAAGCTGGATGTAAGGCAAGCTTCATAGGCAACCTCCCCAACTCGCCCTCAAGATCTCAAAAGGCAATAAACCTCGGACTCAGCTTCCCTTTCTTCCCAAACCTCAATAACGCCTTTCATAGGCGAGACCCGAAGTAGAACCCGCTCACCAACCATATATGAAACATCACGAACCTTCCTGTACGCGTAACTCTTCTGTCTAGACTGGGCTGTACGGAGTCTGTCCTGAATCACCTTGACCTTCTCCAATGCATCCTGAACCATCTCTATACCCAATAGCCTGGCCTCACCCGGCTCAAACCAACCCACCGGAGATCTATACTTCCTACCATATAAAGCCTCATACGACGCCATCTGAATGCTGGAATGATAACTGTTGTTATAAGCAAACTCCGCCAATGGCAAGAAATGATCCCAAGACCCTCCAAACTCAATCACACATGCACGGAGCATATCCTCAAGAATCTGAATAGTGCGCTCGGACTGTTCGTCCGTCTGGGGGGTGAAATGTTGTGCTCAACTCCACCCGAGTGCCTAACTCCTGCTGCACGGCTCTCCAGAACTGCAATGTAAACTGAGTACCTCTGTCCGAAATGATAGAAACTGGAATACCATGCAGACGGACGATCTCCCGGATATAAATCTCCGCCAACCGCTCCGATGAATAAGTGGTACACACAGGAATGAAATGAGCGGACTTGGTCAGCCGGTCCACAATAACCCAAATGGAATCAAACTTCTTCAAGGTCCGTGGAAGTCGAGATACAAAATCCATGGTGATGCGCTCCCATTTCCACTCCGGAATCTCTATCTGCTGGAGCAACCCACCCGGGCGCTGGTGCTCATACTTCACCTGCTGGCAGTTGAGGCATCTAAACACATAATCAACTATATCCTTCTTCATCCGCCTCCACCACTAGTGTTGCCTCAGGTCCTGACGCATCTTCATGGCACCCGGATGGATGGAATACCGCGAACTATGGGCCTCTGCTAGAATCATCTCTCGAAGACCATCAACATTGGGCACACAAATCCGGCCCTGCATCCTCAATACTCCATCATCTCCACTGGTCACATCCTTGGCATCTCCACGCTGAACCTTGTCCATGAGGAAGAGTAAATGGGGGTCCTCATACTGCTGCTCTCTGATGCGATCAAATAATGAAGACCGGGAAACCACACAAGCTAGGACCCGGCTGGGCTCTTAAAGATCCAATCTCACGAACTGGTTGGCTAAGGCCCGAATCCATCGCGCGTAAGGCCTCTATGAAGCCGGTAGTTATGCCAAACTCCCCAAACTCTCCGCCCAGCGACTCAAGGCATCCGCCACCACATTGTCCTTGCCCGGGTGATATAGGATAGTGATCATAATCCATCAGCAGCTCTAAGCCACCTCACTCTGACGCATATTAAGATCCTTTTGCTGAGCACAGTGCTGCAAACTCTGTGATCAGTAATAGATCTCAACAAAGCACTCCATATAGATAATGACGCCCAGATCTTCAAGGCATGAACAATGGAAGCTAACTCAAGTCGTGGACAGGATAATTCTTTCATGTATCTTCAACTGTCTGGACGCGTTAGGCAATCACCCTACCATCCTGCATCAACACTGCTCCAAGGCCAACTCTCGAGGTGTCACAATAGATAGTATAAGACCCCAAACCGGTAGGCAACATCAAGATTGGGGCTGTAGTCAAAGCTGTCTTGTGCTTCTGAAAGCTCGCCTCACACCTCCTCTGTCCACTGAAAAGGGGGCACCCTTCTGGGTCAATCTAGTCATAGGGGCAGCAATCGATGAAAATCCCTCCACAAAACACGGTAGTAACCCGCCAAGCAAAGGAAACTGCGAATCTTTTGTACTGAGTTGACGGCCTGGGCCAACTCTGCACGGCCTCTACCTTCCTCGGATCCACCCGAATTCCCTCGCTAGAAATTACATGGCCTAGGAATGCCACAGAACTCAGCCAAAACTCACATTTTGAGAACATTGCATATAACTTCTTCTCCCTCAAGGTCTGTAGCACGGTCCTCAGGTGCTGCTCATGATCTTCCCGACTCCGGGAATACACCAGAATATCATCAATAAAAACAATCACGAATGAGTCAAGATACGGCCTGAACACACTGTGCATCAAATGCATGAAAGCTGCAGGGGCATTGGTCAGCCCAAATGACATAACAAGGAACTCGTAATGGCCATATCGAGTCCTGAAGGCAGTCTTCGGGATATCTGGCTCCCGAATCTTCAACTGATGGTAACCTGAGCGCAAGTCAATCTTGGAAAACACATGTGCGCCCTGAAGCTGGTCAAACAGATCATCTATACGAGGCAAAGGATAACGGTTCTTCACTGTAACCTTGTTCAACTGGCGGTAGTCAATACACATACGCATAGAACCATCCTTTTTCTTCACAAACAAAACAGGAGCACCCCACGGTGAAACACTGGGTCGAATAAAACCCTTACCAAGCAATTCCTGCAACTGATCCTTCAACTCCTTCAACTCAGGAGAAGCCATACAATACGGAGGAATGGAAATGGGCTGAGTACCCGGCAACAGATCAATGCCGAAATCAATGTCTCTATCAGGCGGCATGCCCGGAAGATCAGTTGGAAATACATCGGGATAATCCCGTACCACTGGAACAGAATCAACAGAAGGGGTATCAACACTAACATCTCTCACATAAGCCAAATACGCGGCACACCCCTTCTCAACCATGCGCTGAGCTTTAAGAAAAGAGATAACTCTACTGGGAGTGTGATCTAAAGTACCACTCCACTCAACACGCGGAATACCTGGCATAGCCAGCGTCACGGTCTTGGCGTGACAATCAAGAATAGCAAAATGGGGCGACAACCAGTCCATGCCCAGAATAATGTCAAAATGCACCATACCGAGTAATAATAAGTCTGCTCTGGTCTCAAAACCACGAATAGTAACCAAACATGACCGATAAACGCGGTCCACAACAAGAGAATCTCCCACAGGAGTAGAAACATAAACGGGGGCACTCAAAGAATCCCGAGGCACACCCAAATGAGGAGCAAAGTAAGAAGACACATAAGAGTAGGTAGAGCCCGGATCGAATATAACCGATGCCTCTCTGTGACAACCAGAATAATACCTGTAATGACGGAGTCGGAGGCAACAGCCTCAGTACGAGCAGGAATAGCATAATATCTGGCCCGGCCCCTCTCTCGGGGGCGACCTCTATCTCCCCGACCTCTACCCCTCGCCGGCTGGGCAGGTGGGGTAGCTGCTGGAGCTGTGATCATGGCCTGAGAACCCTGAGGAGCACGCTGTGGCTGAGAAACCTGTGGGGGCGCACTCCTCCCAAGTCTGGGGCAAATCCCTCACCAAGTGACGTGTATCACCACACTCGTAACAAGCTCTGGGAGGACGCGGTGGCTGTGACTGGCTGGGACTAGGCCTGCTGGACTGACCTCTGGAAGCACCCCGCACAGGAGGCGCGCTAGAAACTGGAGGTGCATAATAAGGCTCCTGAGGTGGAGGTGGAGCTAGAGTACTGCCGGATGCTGGAAGAGCTGAATGTACAGGGCAACCCGAATAACCTCTGCCATAACGACCTGCCAATGGGGTACGGGCACTAGAGTAGTGACCCGACTCTTGAGACCTCTTGGCCTCCCTCTCTCATCGCTCCCTGGCGAGCATACCCTCAATCCTCCTAGCAATGCTCACTACGTGCTGATAAGGAATGTCCATCTCCAACTCTCGAGCCATGCTAGATCTGATGGGTGGAATAAGCAATGAACCTGCGAACTCTCTCCCGAACGTTAGCAACCAAAGCCAGTGCATGCCTAGCCAACCTGGTATAACAGATAGCATACTCTGAAACGGTCATAGCACCCTGGCGCAAATGCTCAAACTCTGCGCGCCATGCATCCTTGAGACTCTGGGGGACAAACTCTCTCATGAACATATCCGAGAACTGGGTCCAAGTCAGTGTAGCAGCCTCGACTGGGCTGTCTATCTCATAAGTCCGCCACCAATCATAGGCAGCTCCCCGAAGCTAAAAAGCAGTGAAAGAGACCCCGCTGGACTTCACTATGCCCATAGTGCGAAGAATACGATGACACTCCTCTAGAAATCCCAAGGCATCGTCTTATGCTAATCCACTGAACACTGGGGGGTCATACTTCTTGAACCTCTCAAGTCTCCGTTGCTCGTCCTCTGAAGCAGCTGACCCATCCTCGGGCTGAACTGGCACTGCAAGCGGTGTCAGAATAATCTCGGGAGCCTGCTCAACCTGCACTCGCTGCTCAGGAGTACGGACGGCGGGAGTCGGTGCTCCTCCCCCGGCCTGGGATATGTCTGCAGCAATGGGAAGCAACCCTGCCTGAGCCAATGTGGTGTACATGCTCATGAACTGAGCCAAAGTCTCCTGGAGCGCTGGAGTAGTAATGGCAGTAGTAGGGGTGCCAGGTGCCTGGGCTCCCGCTAGACCTGCTGGTAGTACCTCGGCGGCAGCTCGCGCAGGTGCTCTGGCTGCACCACGTGCGCGTCCTCGACCTCTTCCCTGGCCCCAGCCTCTGACGGCTGCTGTAGGGGGCGCGGGTGCCTGACCATCACGAGTAGCCCGTGTGCTCACCATCTGTGAGAGAATAGAAGTCACAGTTTAGAATTGATGTCAAAATATCGCACGACAAAGAATTCAAATGAAACGACGATTTTGTTTTTCCCTAAACAGTTACATAGCCCCTCGTAGATAAGTACAGACGTCTCCGTACCGATCAGTGAGGCTCTAATAAACCGCCCAGTATTTCCGTGACTCCTATGAGCCTAGAGCACTGAAACCAACTTGTCACGACCCCAATTCACCCTCCATGAACATGTCGTGATGGCACCTACTTCCTACAACTAGGTAAGCCAAACAGTGCGGAATAACAATTAACATTTGCGGAATAATTAATTAAAACTGAACTTACGGTAATAAAAACTGTATATAAGGCCACTCGGCCTATACAACTCAAAGAAATATGCGGAAGTCTACAACTAAAACCCAAAACCCGGAAACTCACGGGAAAACACAGGCTAATAGATATAGTAATCAGCTCTACACTAGAATGTCTAAAAAATATGAGAAGGAAAGAAAAGGAAACTATCTGCTAAAGCCGAAATAGAGTAGAGACTCCTGGTCTGCGGACGTAGCAGATATACCTCAAGTCTCAGCTAGGACTCTCCACCACGGGGATGATACGCCTGGGAGGAAGTACCTGAATATGCACATGAAAGACATACGCAGGAAGGACATGAGTACACCACAGCGGTACTCAGTAAGTGCCAAGCCTAACCTCGGTTGGGTAGTGACGAGGAAGGTCAGGGCCCTACTGAGATAACGTAATAAATAATAAGATAACAGAAATAGTTTAAATAAAGTCCACAGCGAGAATCTAAACCAGGTAAATAAGGATAGACGACAATAGAAAGCAAAGGAAACAATGCAAGGAAAACCGCCATCAACAAGGAATAGTAGCCGGGGATCTCTTGGTATCCCGAGGATCTCTTGGTATCCTCATCATCAATACGGGGGATCTCTCGGTATACCGAGGATCTCTTATTATCCTAAACAAGAAAGTTGGGGATCTCTTGGTATCCCGAGGATCTCTTGGTATCCTCAATAAGAAATCGGGGATCTCTCGGTATCCCAATGTATATATAGAATCACATGTGCCAGGAATCTCTTGGTATCCTCCACCCTCAGTCCAGAATATCTCAAGTACAGGGGAATCTCCCGGGAAGCCGTCCCGTAGTCCCAAATTAAACACACAACAACAACAATTCATAAATCTTGGAACAATGCTATCAATCAGGACAAGAAGTAGTAAATTATAGCCTAACATGCTTCACAGAGTACAAATAGCACGGCTAAAACAAATAAGCAAGTAAGCCAGCTAAACATGAGTCTCTAAGCTAGCACAGGTATAAACATACAGTTAAAATGAACAAGTAAACAAGAAATCTCAATTTAAATACTTCAAGTAGAAACGGGTTTACAACAATTAGCTCAAGTACGCGCTCGTCACCTCACGTACGAGGCATTCAAATATTCAAAGATCATATCCTAAGGGGAAAGGTCCCCCACACAAGGTTAGACAAGCCACTTACCTCGAACCGGCTCAATATCAACTAGAAGCCACGCTCTTGCCACGAGTATCCAACTCCAAATAGCTCAAATCTGTTCAATTCAATTACACATTGTAAATAACATCACAAACACCTGGTTTTGCTAATAAATTCAAAGCTACGGCGTAAAATTAGGTGAAATGACCAAAATTCCCTTCTGGACAATGCCCCGGAATCGAATATTTTTCACATTTTCAGAACCCTCGTACTCTCACGAGTCTAACCATATAAAAATCTCCCAAATCGGAGGTCAAATGCTCACTCAAAACTCAATAATTTGGCCAATGAAGTTTTACCCCAAATTATCCAATTTTTGATCCTAAATTCGTATTCCAATGATGCATTTAACTATATAATGATGAAATATAACTAGAAGGGATTAAGGAAACGTTACCCAATAGTTTTCTCTTCAAAACCCTCTGAAAATCGCCCTTACCCGAGCTCTCAATTGATTTCTCCAACTTTTGAAACTAACCCTCTAATCTGATATTTCACCCCAGAGATTTCCGCTTCTGCGGTCAAGGGACCGCTTCTGCGGACCACGAGCTGCTTCTGCGGTTCTTCGATAAAGTCAGATTTCCGCTTCTGCGGTCTTAAACCGCACCTGCGGTTGCCGCTTATGCGGATTCATTACCGCTTGTGCGGTTTCATTTAAAAGGACAGATTCCGCTTCTGTGGTGAGGGAGCCACTTCTGCGGTCCCCAAGCCGCAGAAGCAAAAATACTAGAAGGAACGAAATACCAGCTGCTGCAAACTTAGAATTTCCTCCGTTAACCACCCGGAATCATCCCGAGGCCCCCGGGACCTCAACCAAAAGCACCATTACCACCTAATATCTTATTCAAACTTGTACCAATCTTGAAAACACCTAAAACAACACCGGAAACCCGAATTAATCAGGTATTCAAGCCTAAGAACATCAATTTCCAACAAAATACGCTTTCGATCAAAAACCTACCCGAACCTCGTCCGAATGACCTGAAATTTTGCACACACATCCCAAATGACATAACGGAACTACTGTAGCTTCCGAAATTCCAATCCGACCCTCGGATCAAAACTCACTATCGGACAGGAAACTCCAAAAATTCAAACTTCGGTATTTAAAGCCTAAATGAGCTACGGACTTCGAAAATACATTCCGAACACGCTCCCGACCCCGAAATCACCTAACAGAGCTAACGGAACCATCGGATTTCCATTCTGAGATCGTCTTCACACTGTTCCAACTACGGACC